CAGGGCCACGTGGGGCTATCTCACCTCTTATCTCACCTCTTATCTCACCTCTTATCTCACCTTCTTATCTCACACAGCCTCCAGAGCACGGGAGAAACACGAGATGAATTTTTGGAAGTGGCTGAAGGAGGGATCAGTCCCCTCAGGTGCACTTTGTCACCTGGAATGTGCCCAAAAAGGGACAATTTCTTCCTGCTCCAGGGAGAGCTGAGAGGGACCAGCTCGGCCCCACTGAGCTGAACCCACACCCAGGGCAGCAGGACTGGAGGATTTTTATTAAAAAAGGTGGTTCCCTGTGAACTGGAGAAGTGGCTCCACCCAGGTGGTTTTTGTGGCCAAGAGAAAGGTCCAGGAACAATTTTGTAGTGAAAATGAATCAGGAAGTTTGGGAATTCCTGGGCAATTATGTCCCACGTGGGGCAAGAATCAGGGAGGGCGAAATGGTCCCTTTACCAAAGGCTTTTCCAGCAGGAATGGATCCAGAGCCTTCCTGGTGAGCACTGAGTGGGTTCATCTTCACCTGAACCACGAAAAATGGGGCTTTGTTGTGGCCTCTCCCCTGCAGTCGCTGGTTCTTTGATCCAAAGCCAGAACTCTTCGGTGCTTTTTAGCTCCCAAGGTTTTGGGTGGGATCCTCCCCGTTAACCAGAGTGAGATGTTCACATTTATATTGCTTTTATCCCAGCCTGGATCCAGGCAGGCACTGCCCAGACCTTCAAATAAATCCTGATTTAACCCTGACTCGACTAAAACCACGTTTGGTGAAACCCTCTCCTGCCTGACTTACTGAAGGCCCGGCTGAACTCTGATTTTTTTGATCCCAGCGGTGTCTTTTGTGTTATTACCCAGAAATCAGAGAATCCTGCAGTGCTTTGGGTCGGGAGGGACCTCAAAGATCCTCCAGCCCACGGGCAGGGACACCTTCCACTCCACCAGGATGATCCAAGCCCCGTCCAGCCTGGCTGGGGACACTCCCAGGGATGGGGCATCCTCTGGGAAATCCATTCTGGGACATCCTCTGGAAATCCATTCCGGGACATCCTCTGGAAATCCATTCCGGGACATCCTCTGGGAATCCATTCCAGGGCCTCCCCACCCTGACAGGGAAGGATTTCTCCCCAAATCCAACCCAAAGCCCCTCTCTGGCAGTTTGAACCTCCTGGCTCTCTGCAGCTCCCTGCTGGAGAGAGGAGAAGAAGCTGAGCCGGGGCTGTGGCACTGAGAGGTCCAGAGGGAAGCTGAAAAACCCCCTGGGGGAGATGCCAGGGGAGCCAGCAGGGAATGCAGCACCTTTTAATAAGGCAGGAATGCAAAGGAGCCCCGACACGGTGCAGCAGCTCTGGAGCATGAGCCAAAGCAGCAGGAATGCAAAGCTCCAAATATAGAAACCTGGCAGGAGAACAAGGCAGCCAGAAGAAGGTAGAAGGAAAAAAAAAAAGGGTAAATCGGCTGGATGGGATCTGGGATGTTGGATTGAAACCTCAAGTGATGGGAAATTAGCTCTGCCCCATTAATGGGAAAAAAACAAAGCAATAAATTAGGGAAAGAGCTGCAGCGCAGGAGGGAGCTCCAGGGGGGAGTTCAGCTCTAAACCTCCCTGGGCAGCCCCTGCCAAGGCCTGAACACCCTTTCCAGGGGGAAATTCCTCCTCATGGCCAACCTGAGCCTTGAGGGCCATTTCCCCTCCTCCTGTCCCTTGTTCCCTGGGAGCAGAGCCCGACCCCTCCCCAGCTCCCCCCTCCTGTCAGGGAATTCCGGA